TACTAAAGCAAAAACTCTGAATTAGCCCCTGTCCATGAAAATATGTATGCAATTTAGGCTTTAAATTAAGTGTTGACAGGTACATATATTGTGTGAATGTGTTCAGGCACATCATTACCTCTTTATTTTGTTCTGGGCTCTCAAATCTAGGTTTATATGTGTATGTACATGTAAAAACGTGTGCCGCTGCTTCACTTAATGCTGCTGATTTATCTGTATTTATATCCAGCTGTGAGATTGAGATATCATTATTTCCCTCAGGTAGCCTTGATTTTTTATGCAAAGCAAATAGTACATATATCACCTATAAGATAAAGTTGGAGAAGTCAGTAAAGGTAATTAAACTAGACTAGACTTTTAGTCGCATTTCTGTCCCCATTGGGGGCATTTCCCCTCACTTCCTGTCAAAGAGACTTCTCTTCTCTTTGGATTGCACTCTCCAAACGGGAAATCTACTAAGGGGAGACAGTGACACCCTCACCTAATTAATTTTCCATGGATAAATACAGAGACTACACTACAAAAATGGGAAATGGAAAGTTAATTGCAATCCCCAAGGAGAACAGTAAGAATTGGCAGAGGTTACAACCCTTCCCCACGCTATCCAAAGCTGAAAATAAATTCTGTCTAAAGTTTATGTTATAGGTATACTTACTTATGTCTATCAAAGTTAATTTAGCCCAGTTCTAGTAATTTTGGTATGAGTGGCATGTGAGTGTTAGGTAACACTGTGCAGTACAGGAGTTGAATCATAAGCTATAAAGCATTGAAGCCTGTGCATTAGAGATCCAGGATGGATTATTAACATACATGAATACTTGTCCTTGGAAACTGATGAAATAATACCTGGAGCTAAAGTCCCTGTACAAGGGTCATTAGTAACCTGGTCTGCTAAGGATTTCTGCTCCCATGCATTGGAAAATGCACATCAGGAAGTTCTTACATTCCCTGTCTTAACATACAAAGATCAAAGAAAGCTAATTATCCACACTTTTTATTTATACCTAACAACAATTTCCTAGAAGCACAAATTATGCATAGCATAGAATGGCTGGCACTGGCCAGCAGTTCCTCCCACAAGTACTGTAAAGGTCTTGCATAGTCCTATGGAAAAAATACAATTAAAGTAGATAGGTTCCTTGAACACCATTACAAATGTACTAAATATTTACGCTTAAAACCTGCAGTCGTTACTTTAAAAAACACCATATTATTTTAAATTGAGAAGCTTTTGGATGTATTCAACACAAGTATCAACATTTTATTTCCATTTTTCCATTCAGAAAGTGGCTACAAATATTATTATTATTATTATACAGGATTTATATAGCACCAACAGTTTGCGCAGCGCTTTACAAAATGAAGGTAGACATTACAGTTACAATACAATTTGGTACAAGAGGAAAAAGAGGGTCCTGCCCGTTAGAGCTTACCATCAAATACAGATCTCCTGGCACCCTCTATGCCATAGGCATAATTCACAAAGCTAACATACAAGGTTAAGGATCCAAGTCCAGTAATATGTGATACTTTACTCACATAGTAAAAACGATTCTTCATGGCCTGAGCCTTGTGCTTTTTATGTGTGTTCAGAAACTAATATAAAGATTGTTAATATTGGTTGCATGTTGGATGTCCTATAAGGGTTCCTTCAGCATTAGCAGTCACTGTATAATTAGTACCACTATTTTCTTCAAATAAATCCAAAATTGCAGCTTAGAGTTGGACTAGACAGAGCTTTCAAACTCAATTATAAACAAATGGCCCAATTTGGTAAAGACTGACACCAATCCATGGTTGGATGAAAGGGTTACATGTTTTGGTGAATGATGCACTTTAAATGTACTATTCAGTTACACAATTCAGACATAAGTAACTGTTATGATTTTTTCTTAGCAAACATTCAGTTGTTAGAAGTAAAAAAAAAAATATATATAAATACCCCCAGAAATAAATGGGTCACATAAGCATGTGTTTTTAGTGTACAGTCAGCTTCAAAACATGTATTGAAATTCAATAAAACTGCACTATTAAATCACACTTTGTATTCAATTGTATCTCAATTTTCTTTCTTTTTAAAATTCAAACATTAAACACAAAAGCATAAAAAGTATGAATACCTTACAAGCACATAAAAATAGGTCACATAAGTAAAATCAGGTAAAGAAAATACATTCCGGTTCGGCATACTCATGGGAAATAAGAGACATACAAGTGAGGATACACCAAATGACATCTTAAGGATGGATCACTCATCAAATCTCTAAATGTGTGAAACTGTACCCCTCATCCCAGTGGGAAATACAATTGTCTAATTTTAACTGGTAGTACATTTAACTCCTAGTACAGAAGAGGACCATTCTCCAATAATAATGAAATGTAATACTGCACAGGCAGTGAAATGGAAACTGTCAGCATTTTATAAAAGTACAAACTGGTACAGAACATGTCCCTGAAAATGAATGATTGCCCCAAAAAACTGCATTAGGAAATCATTAGGGACAGAGTGTGGTGTCTAATTTAAGTATGAGGGACATCTCTCGATGGCTGCTAATTGGTCTCACTAGTCTCAGTTTAAATGTTGGCTTATTAGCTCTGCCTATTGGAACTCTGATGATACACAGCAATATGATTAATGTGTACTAGCTGGTGGACTGCTTAGCACTGAGGATAAAAATTCTGACTTTCTTATATTCTGATGACAAGATGTTCCAGTAGATATGACTTAATTTAGTTAAGAAATCACAGCTTGGTGTTGCAAAAGCATTGCTCTGAAAACATTGTGCAATAAGCACAACACTATGCAACAACTACACATCTATGAAGCTAAAAAAAAAACTGGAATTTGCAAATGAGTAAAGAAAATGAAAATAAGAATACAGTCTGTTTGTTGGAGCATAGTCACCATTTTGATACAAATATTAAATATTTGTTCTAACTTTTGGCCTGTAACATTTTTCTAGGATGTCTTAATCAAGAAAAAGGAAGTCTGTACTTATTACCATTAGAAGCTTTTCTTCCTGTGCTTCATGCATCAGTCATGACAATGTAGAGACAGATGTGGAGATAGACACAGATATAGTATGGCTCCTGCTAATTGTCACTGGTCATAAAGCAGCACAGGAACAGGCACAGAGAACATGATAATGTGATTATCCAATTAGGATGATCATAACATTTGTGTTCTAGGCCACCCAAGTTGAAAAACTTGGACAATATTAGTAGGTTATATTTAGACATCTTGGCCGCTCTGCCATTTCACCATAGAGAAATAATATTATTCACATTAGAGTTCACCTTTAAATTGTCAGGTTTAGGATTCATGAACATTCCTGGTACTCCTAAGGAGAAAAAATGTAATTCTCTTTTAAAAGATCTATAAACTAAATCATTAAATTTGTACATGAATGTATTATAATATATTATATTATATTATATTATTGTGATTTCAAAGACATTTTTTGTACATCTATTTAAATCGGCATTTTTAGTGAAAAGAATACTTGGTGATCCTGCGATGTATGTCCTTGTTTAGCCACTTATAGGGTGATAACTGTTTCCCACTTGTTATCCTGTTTATCACCCTCTCACAATCACTCCTGTTAGAAACTACAAACAGCCATACTAACCCATTGCAAAAGTGTAGAGCATTAGTAAAATGTAATAATGTGCAGCTGCCATTAGAGCAAGTGTATGTAAACAGAAAGTGGCTGAAATAGGGTGGACTTGGACAGTACACAATGAAGGAAATTACCTTAGAAAATAGGGCACAGTAAAAGCTCTGTACTTAAATCACAATATGTTTAGTAAAAACAATGTATTTATTATGTTCCATTATAATGGTGGAGAAATACATAGCCACCGTGTATAAATACTTAAACATGTAATTACATACTGCATCAATTTTAATAAAATCACATATATATAGTAATCTGGGGTAGCTCTGGAATGGCCCCCAGCCAGTTTGGTGAAAGCAAAACAGTTCATTTATTTGGATCACGGACAAACAAAAAGACAGCTTACTTCAGCCAAAGTCTTTAAACAGTCCAAAACCTGGTATCAGAAGCTAAACCACAAGCTCACAATTAATCTTTGGTCCTATACAGGGGTTAGGCTCTTACACAGTAAGGGTGCCAGGCAGGCCACATTGGGGGTCAGCAGCCCATGTCTCAGCTTGTCTGAGAGCTCCCACTTGCCACACAGCTTGTGAGTCTCTCTCCCATTCACTTCTCTGACACACCTGCTGATTTCCCTCTGCTACCATTTACGCCTCCCTCATCTGGGATTTAACCCCTTTGGGACCAAAGTCCTGGTAGTCAGGACCCTAATGCAAATTTATTGTATCCCACTGAGAAATGCCAACGTGTTTCACAGTTCACGTCTGATTCATCAGAGACGTCACAGGACCATCTAAAATGTTTAACTGCCTCCCGCCCCGCCATATAGTAAAATGACAGACGCAAGGCGGTTCTCTCGTTCTGGGAGGATCTCATATGACGCCCTACCATTCTAACCGTGCATGCGCGGCTCCGGGAGCGCGCAACGCGGCAATCGGCGGTGTGCTGTGTCCCTCAGACACAGCGGATCACTGATCAACGGAAAGAGCCGAAGATGTCGGCTCGGTCATGTGATCAGCTGTGTCCAATCACAGCTGATCACATGTAAACAGGGAAATTCCGGTTATCGGCATTTCTCTCGTCACGAGCTGTCACGCTGACAGCTCGTGAGGAGAGGAGAGCCGGTAATCGGCATTCCTTGGAGGGGACATGTACACTGATCATCAGGGCACTGATGATCAGTGTGCCCTGATGATCTGTGTAGCCCCAGCAGCGCCACCTGTCAGTGTCCATCAGTGCCAGCTCTCAGTGTTCATCCATGCCACCTGCCAGTACCTATCAGTGCCACATCAATGCCACATAGTGCCCATCTGAGCTGCCTTTCAGTGTCACCCATCAGTGCCAGTCAGTGCCACCTATCAATGCCAATCAGTGCCACATATCAGTGCTGCCAATCAGTGCCACATATCAATGTCAGTCAGTGCTGCCTATCAGTGCCAGTCTGGGCCACCTAACAGTGTGCATCAGTGCCGCCTATCAGTGCCTGTCAGTGCTGCCTATCAGTGCCGCCTAACAGTGCCAGTCAGTGCCGCCTATCAGTGCCAGTCAGTGCTGCCTATCAGTGCCACCTATCAGTTCCGCTTATCAGTGCCACCTATCAGTGCCATATATGAGTGCTGCCTTTCAGTGCCCATCAGTGATGCCTGTCAATGCCAATCAGTGCCTCATCATCAGTGACCATCAGTGTCACCTATCAGTGTCCATCAGTGCAGCCTCATTAGCGAACATCAGTGAAGGAGAAAAATCACTTATTTACAAAATTATATAACAAAAACTAAGAAAAACGTTTTTTTTTCCAAAATTTTCAGTGGTTTTTGGTTTGTTTAAGAAAAAATAAAAAACCCAGAGGTGATTAAATACCACCAAATTAAAGCTCTATCTGTCACAAAAAAAATGATATAAATTTTAAATGGGTACAGTGTTGCATGACCGCGCAATTGTCATTCAAAGTGCAACAGCACTGAAAGCTGGAAATTGGCCTGGGCAGGAATGGGGGTATAAGTGCCCTGTAGGCTAGTGGTTAAAATATAATTTTGACAATACACAGTACAAATAATAGTATAATTGTAAAGCGTTTTTTTCTTACAAACACAACACATGGTAATTATATACAGCTTACCACATTAATCAAAACCATCTGATGACCATTGGCTCTTGATGAGATGTCACACAGGAGGCCTCATCGATCCTAAGCTGTATATAATTTTTACAATTATAGTATTATTTGTACTGTCAAAACTCTATTTTAAACATTTTAGATGGTTCTGTGATGTTCCTGATGAAGCAGATGTGAACTGCGAAACATATCTGTATTTCTCAGTGGTATACAGTACTGTTGATGCACATATATATGCTTTTTTATAATTGATATGTAATTACATGTTTAAGTATTTATATGCGGTGGCTATGTATTTCTCCACCATTTTAATGGAAAATAATAAATACCTTGTTTTACTAAGCGCATTGTGATTAAAGTACGGTGCCTTTAAAGTCCCCTATTTTTGAAGGTAATTTCCTTTATTGTGTCCTGTCTTGGTTTATTGGGCTGTGACACCATGTGCCTATTCCCTGAGGTGTGGTAAATTACATTTTGGGATATAGGGTGGACATGATCAGCGGCATTGAAATGCAAAAGAGTTAGGGTTGCTTCTACTTTAAAGAAGAATTATTGTTATCATAAATAACTACCTAATTTTGGTAATAATACTTTACAAGCAATCTATGAAATTAAGCAATATATGTTAGTATCCTCCAATGTAATCATTATCTAAGTGCTAAATTAAAAGATATCCTGAGATCATTACAAGTGATTGGAGGATAGCTTCTTGAGAAAAAAAGTTGTGGGAGGTTTGCGGATAGTATTATAGGTAGAAATAAATCCAAAATGTATACTGTAGAAAAGGATACTGATGCTGTATTGAGCAAGGAAGGAAAGAAGGAATTGAAGGAAGAATCGAATATTGGTCCAGGGTTTTAACTGGAATGGGAAAGACTGTAGGCACCAAGTGAAAACCCAAACACACAAGTTCTAATGATAGCCACCTATCAAATGGTATTCAAAATGAACAGAGAATAAAAGCAAATTTGGTTCACTGGAAAGTACTTAGCAAGTCTTTGATATAGCTCAAAGATCTGACAGCTTGTTCCTATTATGCTTGGGCATGTCTTCATAGAAACCAATGACATATCCCCATCCATCCATTTAGCTATCAGCTGGGGGTTCCTGGCTGACAGATGACTGTAAACATATGGGTGTGGATGTTGGATTTGGGGGGGGGGTGAAATGTGGGCCCCTTTATTTTTAAAGGGGGCTTCCAGATTCTGATAACCCTGAGACAGGGTTATGGTTAAGAGGTCCTTGTCCTCATTAACATGGAGGCCTCTTCTTGTTGAGGACATGCGGCCAGGTATGGCTTAGGAGGAGAAAATTTGTACGCTGTTCTAGTAAACCTTTTTTGAACCAAGGTATGTTTGGTGCATTCCTAGGTCACACCACTTCAGTTGGGCTGTGTTGACTCATGTAGAACAACACAGGTTCAACATGGGAGCATATAGCACAAAAAGTTTTAAATGTGCCCTGTTCACACCACAATGTTGCATTGAGGTGGGTTGCTCTGTGTAGAGGTAGGCCAGTGAGGAGGGAAATCGAGTAGTCAAGGTAGGATAGTCATTAGTCAGGAAGGGGTGAAATCTGGAAATGTTGCAGAGGTTAAGGTGGCAAGATTTAGCCAGTGATTGAATGTGGGATTCGAAGGAGAGTTCAGAGTCTAGGATTACACCTAGCACCCTGGCATGTCCAGAGCGACCAATGGTTCAATGGTTGTGCTGCTGATCTAGATGGTAAAGTCATGAGGTGGGGATCGGGGAGGAGAAAATATTACAAGCTCAGTTTTAGAGAGATTGAGTTTGAGGAAGTGCTGTGACATCCATACTGATATGTCACTCAGTACATTTGTGATATGTGAGGAGACCAAGGGGGTGAGCTAGTAGATAGAGCTGGGTATCGTCAACATAGAGGTGGTATTGGAAGCCATAGGAAGTTATCAACTGGCCCAGGGAAGAGATATAGAGAGAGAATAGGAGGGGTCCAAAGATGGAGTTTTGGGGTACCCCAACAGAGAGAGGAATAGGAGTGAAGCAGATGATGTTGTATGTGATGCTGAAAGTGAGCTGATATATGTAACAAGAGAATCAGTAAACAGCAGAGTCATGAAGGTCAAGAGAGTGGAGTTTATTGAGTAGGAGTGGGTAGTCAACTGTGTCAAAGACAGTGGAAGGGTCTAAGAATATGAGATATTTTATGTAGATCAGCCCAGTCTGGTGTAAATCCAGGTTCAGGCAGAATCAAATTACTCATTCATGATACTTCATTTGTCCAGAAAAAAATAAGTATGAAGCGTCAATACAAACACAAAGTGTCTTCAACTTATTGCAAGTAAACATTTTCATGTTCTAACCTTTGTTATCTTAAATGCTATTGCAAAGCTCTCACGTATTACTTACTTGCAAAGGGCAACTTTTTGTTCACTATTTTAAAGTTTATAAAGTATAAATATTTATGACAGGATTTATGAGATATGTTACTTTATTTTAGCACTCTGGCAACTTTATATAAAAAGTGACTTTTATTGGAATCATATAAATAAATGGAGAAGCAACCAGTACTGTAAGCCTCGTTCCACGGGATGAACGGTAGAAAGAGAATTCTGTAGAGGCCAAGGATTTACAGGGTCATTAGATACTGTATAGATGTGTTTCAGTTACTGAACAGGGTGAAAGCCTGACTGAAGGAGTATTTACTATTCCTGGAATTTTAACATTATAGGCCATAAAGGTTTGAAGCTGCCAGATTGAGCAGTTACTTTTCAAAGTGAGATTCAATTCCTTACCGTATGCCACAGAGGCATCACAAAAAGTCACTGAAAATCTCTTCATCTCCACAATAAATAGGAACTGGAATCTTGCACACTGTTTTCCATGAAATGTCAGAATTTCCAGATATGATCTGTGTGTGAAAGGACCCAGTACACAATATGCTTAACTACATGTATCAAAAACATACTACAATGTAAACACTACATGGAAGCCATTTATTATTTCACTTAACTAACAGTCTTCAGTGAAAATCCCCGAACAATACTGGTATATGTGTTTGATGCGCAATTCTTGGAAAAACATTTTATGTTTAGTGTGGGGAAGGCTAAGAATCTCTATGAGGTTTGCATGGTTGACAGTGCTCCCATTAGGGACATTCCCTTAACTTCCTGGCTCAGTGACAACCCAGGAAGTGAGGATAAATCTCTTCAACAGGAACGTGAATTGCAATAATGTTTATAGTTTATATAACACTTTCTACTGTACCCAAAATGTAGCTACAGTTTCAAATTAATTATATTCTACATTTAAAAGAGGACCAGAAAATATGTTAAGGTATAACTAAAGGCAAATTTTTCTTTTTTTTTTTTTTTTGATAGAATGGAGATTAATTAAACCACCTGTCAGATTGTTATTGCTGTCTGTGCCCGTTAGGGAGATTCATCTTTTCTATTTTTCATGCTTACAGTTATCACTCAAAGTGAAAGAAAATCCCCAAATTTGCATTGTTCCCAGATCAGGAATAAATCTTCCAATCTTCACTAGTTATAGTGACCCTGGTGACAACCAGGATTCCCTCATTTTGAAGGGATTCCTCTCAATTCTTGTTTTTGCTATGGGACAGGAAGTAAAGGGACATCACCTCAATGGAACACAGATGTAAAAGAAAAATTGGCAGTGGTCATAACCCTCCCTTACGCTATTCAAGTTGAATTTTTAAAAACATCTATCTATCTATCTATCTATCTATCTATCTATCTATCTATCTATCATCCATGGTTTAACCCATACACTCCATAAAGAAGCATTCCCAACTGTCAACCCCTGTTACAACAATGACTCCTGTTACAACCATAAACATACAGCTCAAAAAATTTAAAACCTGATAAGCAATTTTGGAAAGCTCCAGTAGAGGATCTAGTGGGAAAATGAAGGAAGGTACGTGTAGGCTCTTTCACCAACTAAAGTTTGTTGGTTACTTTCAAAAATATTTCCTGAGTAAAGGTTTACTTTAAATTGTCATTATCAAACTGCTTATATTAGATTTTGATTCCCTATAATGTACACAATGGGCAGATTCCATGTTTATGAAAGAGATGAGGATATCTGCTCTGGCGTCCAAGGACAAAAAGTCAACATGTTATGTGTTATGTACAGATCACAAATATCTACAGGAAACACTGCTGTTGATTATTGCTTTTACAGACCAATGTCCATAAAAAAAAAACACTTGCATCCTCAGTTTACTAGTCCTTCACCTGATCCCCGAACAATACTGATAGTCAAAGTTCCATTATAAGAAGTTATTCTTACTGGTTTTCTTTGTTTTGTTTTTTTTTTTTTTTTTTTTTTATGTACTTTGAAGTTTTTTTTGCATCATTCAAAACCTTTTATAGGAATTAAAAGGATGAAAACACCCTTACTGTAAATGGGTTATTTACTATGCAGCTACTTGTTATTTTAAATTTGAAACTTTGATTTTTAACTTTCTACTTTGCTTATCACAAGAGATAACTTGTAATTATGTTGTGTTTCATGAGTATAAATTTACTTTACTATTGCCTCCATTAGGCTTCTACATGAGCTTAAGCTAAATGCCTGTATAAAAAAAAAAACAATTTAAAAACAGGTATTATACTTTGCAGTGATTTAGAAAATAAATACCCTAAATTGAGGAAACACACTTTTTATCCAATGTTATTTCTAAGTATGCAGTCATTAAGCAATCCTTTTAAATGTTATATAGACCCTCTGCTAAA